GCGAGGGCAGGTGTGCCACCGGGTGGGGGGCGCGGGGGCATATCGGGCTCGCGGTCTCACCCCCCAGCCCCTTCCGCGCCCTGGCCTGGCTCACCCACACTGGGGCGGGTGGGTTCATGCAAAAGGCAGAAGGATTTTTGCAGAGCACAGGGTGCTGGGCGGAGGAGATTGCCTGTGAGGCACCTCTGTTCTCAAATTAACCTTTAACGTGAACGAGGTTGGAGAAAGGGGTGTGTGCATTGGGGTTCCCAAAAGGTTAACTGTCACTCCTCATAGGGCGGGAGAACATTTATTAAAAATGAGCCTTTTGACTGTTACTCTTACTGTTAGAACTAGTTTCTCTAGATAACTGTTCAGTAGGGAAGCACGTTTGGCTAATTATAATGATAGTTTTAAGAAAAGTCTGAAGAAGACATCAGATTTTTTTTTGACCTTTAATATTAAGATGGTGTGGTATAAAGGTGCGCAAATATCTGACTTCTAATACAGTTTAGATTTATGTACTAGTTTATGTATTTTTACATATTTATGTATTAGTTTAGATACAATTTATGTATTAAGGACAAGAAGGTTGAGTTCCCCCACAAACCTGGATCTTAGCCACCACATCTTTTGATTTAATGTTATGGGCATTGCTTTAAACAGGTAAAGAAGGTAGGTTCTAAGTCTCGAGTTGAGTTAATCTTTTTATTCTCTTCTTTTGCAGATATGAAGTGCAGAGACTCCCTTTCACGGCTCTCCACTCTGTTTCCTGCAACAGCACACACTCTGATGGTATCTCACCTGTTTGGAAATGGCTTATTTTAGTATGTTTTACTTTTAACTCCTTGCCCTCCCATTAAGACACAAGAATCTTTTCCCATTTGGAGAAAAAAGCCATTTAAAATACATATTGAAGTATGGTGTTTGGGGGGAAAAGATGGGAGCTTTTGCAATTACTTCTGTATATTGTTTAATCTCAATTTTTTTTTTTTTTTTTTTTTAGTTTTTAAGAATTTTGAGTTAGGACTTTTGCACTTTTGTTTTCATAGTTAGAAAGCAGAATAAGACCAGTGTGCTTTCTATTGATGTATTTAATAGTGAAAGAGAGTGAGACGCAGTAGTGTGTATGCTATTGAATCAAACAGAAGTGAAGGCCAGTGATTGTGTGAGAATCTGGATTTCAAATCTGCAAAAGGAAGGTGCAGAAAGGTAAGTTGTTTCTGGAAATGGAATGGATAGTGTTTTCCTGTTTTGAGTGTTTTCCTGTTAACTCATTGTGTTGGTGTTGTATTTTTAAAAAAATTTTTTTGGTAGGGAATTGCAATTTACTTTTTGAGTTTTGATCAATTTTGCTAACAGCGCTTCTTATAAACAGCAATTTATTTTGTTGGGGAAGCTATTCCTATTATGAACCTTTTACATTTTAATGTTTTGAAGTGAAAGCATCCTGCTATTAAAGTATTTTTTAAAAAGCCATTAAGGGAACCATATCAACTTATTTAGCATACGTTGTGTAAGGCACCCTTCTAGGTATTCTGAATATTACATATATGAGACACAGTCCCTGCCTCCTAGAAGCTTATATGGGAGGCACCCATTGTGGAAGTGGTGAGGAAATAAAACACAGTGTTTTTAAAATTTAGCACTTCAAGGAATTATTATTGGACCAATGATTGACTAGTTGGGTATCCCTTTTTCGTAATTTAATATAGTTTGGAAAAATGGATCTGCCAATATATTTTGTAATCTGCGCTTACCTTGGTTGCATACTTTCATGTAGAGCTTGGGGGTTAACTGATGATCCAGGAGAGACTCTTGATAGATTTTTCTAAGACCTTGACTGTCGGCATCAATTGCTTTAAAAATAGTTTGTGTCCTATTTGAATTGGCCATTGAATTAAAGCTTTAGGTAAAAATAGCAAGAGCTTCCTATTGAGTGCCTGTTATGTACCAGGCATTGTACCACATGCTTTAGTCTTTATAACTCTGGTGGTATGTTTCATTTATATAGGAGGAAATTGAGGTTCATTTAATTTGGCCAGTCGTTTAGCTTGTAAATGGTAAAATAAGGATTCAAATGTAGGTTGATCTGATTCTAAAGCCTATACTTTTTCTGCTTTCATATTAGAAAGTTAGTTGGGCTAACAAATTTTCTTTTAAACAATAAGTAAAGAGTTGCATATTTCTGAAATTTAGTGCTTATCTTGATTTCAGTAGCTGTGTGGGAAAATAAATAGGGATGGGGGCTGGAGCCAAGCAGATTCTTTAGTTAGCTAACAGCCATGGAACCTTCTGCTCTGGAAACTCCCCATTTCCTTAGCTGTATATTGGGGAACACATACTAGGCTCTGAAGTCTTGGTTCTTGCCTGTTCAGTGAGATAGTCAGGAAAGAATTAACATTTGGGAGACTACTAAGTGCATCAATGTATGTGTGCTTCTCTTCAGTCTTCTAAAGGGCCAGTTACTGCTTTTATTATTCTATTCCAACATTAAACGGTACAGAAATGTCTTTTAAAGTTGGAAGAGTTGTCCACTGTGTGGAAAAAGTGTTTGATCCTAGCGTACAGCATTTCATATATGTGTGGATTGATCAAGAGTCTGCTTTTGTAAGCATTTGACATTCTTCACCTTCCTGTCATCATATAATTTTTGCCTTATTTTTTAGAGTTATTTGATTGAAGAACACATTTTTGAGGAGACTCCTTCTGTGGAAAAAAGGAGCAGGACACATGTAATTACAAAACTGAAAGAAAAGTGGTACAAAATAGTAGATTGATCTGAACAGACTGTCAGGGTACTTGGGTTTTGACTTCTAGAACCAGCCTCTCCAGTTAACACTGTGACTTGAGGCAAATCGCTGTGTTCCAGTCTCTAGTTCTTATGAGACTAATTCATTTTAACTTTAGGCAGTTCACTTAAACACAAAAAAGCAAACAAACTTGATGCCTCAGTTTACATATATGTAAAGTGAATAGGGTGACCTGGTGGTGGTCTGATTTTACTTACCGCCGTAGTTTGATTGTTACCTTTTCCTCCTTTCTTTCTTCAAAGTAGCTTGCTTTGGCCAATAAATGACATGGTCACCCTAAAAATTAGGATGTTTGAATATCTGGTTAAAAACAGATTTTATGTAGCATAGTATTTATTTGAAACTGAAGACTGTTAGGGTGAGGCCTGCATTCTCTCGTGTACTCGAGACTCCTCCCTATTGTTGTATACTCAGCCCTCTTGGGTAGTTTAAATTACCTGCCTACTCCTGAATTCATTAGCAACGTCGAATGACGATAGTCTGATACTAGCAGATAAAAATAATCAACTAATAATCAACCCACAAATTCAGTTAGGTTTTCCTATGCCCTTTTCTTCTTAACCTTATGCTTTTGAAATTTTGACATAGGTAAATTTGTTTCTTCATTTACTGTTATTTATAATACGCATTCCTTTAGGTTGCTAAACTGTCTTAATGATTATTTTAGACAGAATAATAAATCAGTGGTTGTACCATAATTTTTGTTTAACTTTTTATTATGGGAAATGAACCTCCATGTAGGTATCGTGGTTGCTTTGACATTTATCAACTGTTAGTCAAACTTGTTTCATCATATGCCCACCTCCACTGGATTCTTTTGAAGCAAATCCTAAACATACCACTTTACCATAAATATTTTGGTATAGATCTCTAAAAAGATAAGGACTTAAAAAATCATAACTGTACTACTATTATCACACCTAAAATAATAGCAACAATTCCTTTATATCATCATATATTCAGTCAGTAATAAAATTTCACAGGTCGTCTCAAAATTAACATCTCAATTAACATCTAAGTTTTATTCAATTTAGGATCCAAGTAAAGTTTATACATCGCAGTTGGTTGGTAAGTTTCATGTGTTTCATCGGTAGTTCTCCTGCCATTACTTTTATTCCTTTATAGCTTGTTTATGAAACCATAGACTTTGGGAGAATTTTCCACATTATGGATTTGTTTTCCAATTGTATCCCCTTGGGTGGATTTCTAAAATGTTTTTAAAATAGTTCTTTTCCTTCAGGAGCAAACTGCAGGGACAACAACCGCAGTTCTCTGAGGGCCTCCTGTGAAAACCTCCTGTCCCTTGTTTTGGGTCAGTAGAAATGATATGGGTATCTCTTGCCTGCCTGCAAACATTTAGACCTATCCCTTCTACACAGCTCCAACTTTTAGTAATTCCAAACATAGAAAAATTTAACCAGTCCAGATTATCTGCAAAGGGCAAAAGCCTTCAGCTCAGGTTTCTGAAAAGATAGTTTCTCTGGCTTCTCAATCCGTACCTGAAGGGACATTTACTGGGTCCTGTTGTTTCTTCCTACACAGAGGGATCATTTAAACTGTTTATTACTGTTCTCCACATCTTAGAAAATAGTTATAAAGCCACGTTGAAATCCTGAAAAATCTTCCTGAGTTCCATTTTTTTGGACCTGATATGAATTAAAGAATCATGAAGTAAATACTTATGCTTAAAAACCCTTGTGCATTTTAATTTTGTGATACATACTTATTAAAGGTAGCTAATTGTATTTCTGAATTGATCTTTTATGGATATTGACTTTTTGTGTCTGTATGTGGGATACTGTTGCATTAAAAAGAATTGAGGTGATTTCTTTAGGAAACTGCAGCTTTCACTAAGTCCTTAAAACAATTTGTGGAAAATTTACTTGTTTTTTTAAGGAAATATAAACCAAGACAATGATTTTTTTTCTTTACAGAGACCATGAAACAAACGTATGGTGCAATAGCCCTACTTTTGGTGGGAAAAATATACAGC